TAAGCCAGAGGTGACTCAGTCCAGATGCACCAAGGAGTTCTGCTCACAAAGCCTTAAGACACCCTGGGGAACAGCTCTGAAGACAAGCAACAGGGGCAGGCATTATGGTGCAGACGTCAACCTGCGTCTTAGGACACCCGCAACCCATATGGGAGTGCCTGGGAGCCTGCCCTGCTCCAGCCTCCTGCTAACAGGCACCCTGGGAGACAGCAAGTGATGGCTCAAGTACTTGGGTCCTTGGCACCCATGCGGAAGACCTGGACGGAGCTCCTGGCTCCCAGCTTTGGCCTGGCCCAGCCTTGGCAGTTGCAGGCATTTGGGAAGTGAACCAGTGGATGGAAGATCTCTCTGTGTCTGCCCTTCTGCCTCTTAATAATAACAGTAATAATAAAGGCTATGTTCTAATTGGTGTCAACCAAACTTCCCTGGTCCTGGGGGACTGGAGAGCAGGGTTGGGGATGGCACTGGGGGCAGGGAAAGGAGGAGACAACAGGAGGAGGGGGGTAAAGACACTGGAACGGGGAAGAAGCCAACGCGAAGGCTTCCGATGGGACAGAATGCTTGATCTTCCCTCCCAAGAAACCCAAGGCAACATGGCCTGCTTAGGAGCCACAGCCTCACCCCTGCGTCGTTGTCTTGTTTCCCTAAATCTCTTTCTCTGTCTCTCGGCCTTCTTTCTGGGTCGTTACTGAACATTGAGGCAGCTGAATACCTCCAAGATTTTATTTTTCCCTCTTTTTCCAGATTTATTTATTTGAAAGGCAGAATTACAGAGAGAGAGGGATCCCCCATCTGCTGGTTCACTCCCCAGACGGCTGCACTGGCCAAGGCCAAGCCAGGCCAAAGCCAGGAGCTTCATCAGGGTCTCCCATGAGGGTGGAAGGAGCCCTCCTCCACTGCTTTTTCCAGGCCATCAGGAGGGAGTTGGATTGGAAGTGGAGCAGCCAGAACACCAATTGGTGCCCATATGGGATGCTGGCGAAGCAGCCAGTGGCTTTATTTGCTATGCCAACAACGTGGGCCCCAGGCTTTCTTCATTCTAACCAGGTCTTTACACTGGGGCCACTCCTCTTACCCCAACCATAACCAACGTATTTTCAGGGACACGAGAGCCACACAAGCACTGGGTCACAATGGGGCATTTTATCTGGCACTAAAATGTAAAAGAAGCTTTGAAAATTTTATTTATTTATTTGAAAGGTAGAGAGAAAGTGACACACAGAGAGAGGGATCAATCTTCCAATTGTTGGTTCACTCTCTAAATACATGCAGCAGCCAAGGCTAGGGCAGACCAAAGCTGGCACTGGAAGCAGAGCTGAGACTTGGAGCCCGGGCACTCCTGCACGGGGTCTAAGCACCCCACGTGGCAGCTTATCCACTGTACCAAACTCAGCCAAGCGTGACCTGTGCTTCTGAGAATCCCTGTGCTGCTACCCTCACAGAAGGGCACTATGAGCCAGCAAACGTGAACCATCGTCAGCTCCTACCCAGTGGTAAGGCCTCAGGCGATGGGGCTGGCACTGTGGTGTAGCAGGTGAAGCCACCGCCTGCAGTGCCGCCATCCCATATGGGTGCCAATTTGAGTCCTGGCTGCTCCACTTCCGATCCAGCTCTCTGCTTATGGCCTGGGAAAGCATTAGAAGATGGCCCAAGTCCTTGGGCTCCTGTACCCATGTGGGAGACCTGGAAGAAGCTCCTGGCTCCTGGCTTCGGATGGGCACAGCTCCAGTCGTTGCGGCCAATTGGGGAGTGAACCAGCAGATGGAAGACCTCTCTCTCTCTCTCTCTCTCTTTCTCTCTGCCTCTCTCTAACTCTGCCTTTCAAATAAATAAATAAATCTTAAATAAAAGACCTTAGGCAAGTCATTTAAACCTTGTCACCCCGAAGAGAGACGGGGGTGGGAGGAGAATGAACTGGCACTTGCCTTCCAGTTGTGGAAATCTGGATAAACAAAACCTCGTTAGTGTCAGAAACGTTACCGGTTCCCTACCGTCCATGGTAAAACCCACACTGCGATCTACAGGGAAGATGCTTCCGGTCCAGAGAATAAAGGCAAAGGGTCAGACTCCAGGACCCAACCTTCCCGGGCCCACGTCTCCTAGGTTTCCAACCCACAGGCCTCAGGCACCAGGGAGAAGTCTTTATTCCCGTCATGTGTCTGCAGGGGCCTCCCATGGGCGACAGAGTCACGCCACGCTGCCAGACACCTCGGCGTGGTCCTCTGAGCACAGCTGCTTTTTATAGCATCAGCACCTGGACGCTGCTGCTCTTCCTCTGCCTGCCCAGCTCAGCAGCACCCTTGTCTGTGTGGAGACGCCTGGGGCTTGGCTGCTCAGTGTCTTTCTCCTGTCCCTTTATTATTCGCACACACACGGCAGTCACTGTTGGCACTGGGGGTAAAAAAGATGCTGTTTTCCAACACCCTGCTGCCCCAGCTCCAGGATGAGCCTCAGGATGAGCCTTAGGTGAAAACGATGCAGGACACCTACATATATGTGACCCGCAGAAGCAGCGAGTGGCCACAGACAGCCGTGCCGGGGGTGGGAGTCTTGGGATGTGGTCGCAGCCTGGGTCTGTAGCGAGAGAGGCTCCCGTCACCAGAAGGGGTGGCTTCCACGTGAGGGACTGACACCGGGACCAGGAAGGAAAGCATTAGCTATGCCTGCCACACTGCGTGCCCAGTGCTAAGAGGAAGCAGCCCTGCCTGCTGGCCTTCGGGATCGGAAGTTCCCTGGCAGGCAGGAAGCGACCCGAGGCGGCTACGGGAAAGGAGCTGGAAAACTGGAAACGCGGAGGGCAGGCCGGCTCCCACCGTTAGGAGCTCCCCAGCCTGCAGCTGAGTTCCGCTCGGGGCGAGAACCGCGAGACCGGGTACGGAGAGGGGAAGGCTCTGCTGAGATCCTGACGGGCGTTTGTCAAGTGCTGGGGCTCGGTCTCCGGGAAAACAGATTCCCTCCGAGGCCGCTTACACTACACAAGTGACCAAACAGAACAATCAGGCTGATGAGAAGCGGGCCATGCCTGAAAGACGGGCATCAGAGAGAGAGAAGGCGGGGACCGAGCCACACTACAGCAAGCCACCATTTGCCGTCTTCACCAAGTCTGTTTGTCCCCGAGAAGGACAGTGGGAGACAGACGGGGATGAGGTCCACACGCAGCCGCTTTGCAGACGTTAACGGCAGACTGTACCCCATAGGCGCGTGAGTTCTGGGGAATGTCTGCAGACACACACGCCCTGCTTTCCTCAGACATCTAATGAACGGGACACTTCTTCTAAGCGCAGGCACCGGACGCACTCCGGGTGACTTGGTTCCGGTAACTCCGTGAGCTTGGCATCACCAACACTATTTTAGAGGGAGAAGCTACCCGGTGAATTCTGGAGTTGGCATTTGAGTGCAAAGCCTAGGAGACAGGAAACTGAATTCTAGAAGTAGAGAGACTACACAGGGATGCTCCCTTAGGTAGGGAAGAAAGACAAAGACACGGGCATTGTACAGATAGGGAGGGAACAGTAATTCTTTTTCATCCTGAAGAGGCTAGGCTCCAAGGAAGGCTCAGAAGCAGGAGCCGGCGAGAGGCTGCAGGTCTCGAAGGGCAGGGTCTCCGCTGCCTCTCGCTTGCCAAGCAAGACTGCACGCAGGTGCCGGAATCAGCGGAAGTGAGAGAGAACTTTCCTCTCATTCTCCCTACGTGTGCATAAAGCGAAATTTGGTAATGCCGTGCTGTACCTGGCAGCTGGGCTGAGCCAGGCAGGCATGGGGCTGGACGTCTCATCCTCTGCTGTGATTAGATTAAGGAGAGCTGGTTCTTTGGTTCTTCCTTTTTTTTTTTTTTTTTTTTGGACAGGCAGAGTAGACAGAGAGAGAGACAGAGAGAAAGGTCTTCCTTCCATTGGTTCACCCCCAAATGGCCGCTACAGCGGGAGCTACGCCGATCCGAAGCCAGGATCCAGGTGCTTCTCCTGGTCTCCCATGGGGTGCAGGGCCCAAGCACTTGGGCCATCCTCCACTGCACTCCCTGGCCACAGCGGAGAGCTGGCCTGGGAGAGGGGCAACCGGGACAGAATCCGGCGCCCCGACCAGGACTAGAACCCGGTGTGCCAGCACCGCTAGGCGGAGGATTAGCCTAGTGAGCCGCGGCGCTGGCCAAGGAGAGCTGCAGTAAAAGTGCCTCAGGCGTAGCTGGAAAAAACCCTTCCGTGGCCAGTTATTTCTGCCCCACCCCAGGCCGCGGCTCCTTCAGAGCGCGGGCGCGCGGGCAGGCGGGCAGGCGGTTGCTCGCGTGGCGCGTGGCTCGGGTGGCGGCGGCGGCTGGTTCAAGCGCGGGTGCTGCAGCGGGAAGGCGAGGAAGCAGCAGCCCGCAGTGCCTGTATCGCCCCGCGCGCGGCGGGCAGCGCCCAGGAGACGCGTGGCAGCGCTTGGTCTCGCGGCGGCCCAGCCGTTGGCGGCGAGCGCGTCTGCGCCTGCGCGGAATACAAACCAAAAAAAACCCAACAACAACAACAAACCAACCAACCCACCCGTAATTCCCTGAAAGCAAACACCGAGTGTCCGGAGATGCGGCGGGCACCACTACGCGCCCACCCTGGGCGTCAAGGGACTTACTCGTGCCCTCCCCCCCCCCCGCCCCCATCACCCTCCAAGACCGTGAGGGTAAGAATTCCACCTAAAACTGCTGTACCCAGCGACTGGCGCAGAACAGGAACCTGATGCCTTACTAATGAACCACAACCATCGGTAAGGTAAACCCGCCTCCTTCCTGCACACGGACACGGAACGGCGAGACGAGAGACCTTCGGAGAGCGCCACAGCGCCTCAGCTCCGCGCGTGGGAGCACAGGGGCCCCTCCAGGCCGCACTGCCCTCCAGCACTTCAGACACCATGCTTTGCCCACCAGACCGGCTGGGCCTGCAGACGTGCGTCCCCTCTGGGAGCCGGGAACACGTCCCACGGACGCCGCCCTCCCCGCCCTCCTCCAGCCCAGCCTGCCCGGCCTCTACCTTCCACGGGGGAGGTTCTCAGGCGACTGCAGAGGTTCTGCACGCCTCCGTACTGCACGTTGACCTGCGTCACCGCATCGCTCGAACGCTGCTCCATGAGCTTCCTCAGGTCCATGAGTGTGCAGCCAAAGTCCCCTTCGTGACTCTCGGCCACCGAGTTGGCCGGCAAGGCGTGTTCTGATGGGTTCGTCATTTTGCCGGCTGTTACCACGCCCCTCTACCAGACCGGAAGCGGGGTTCCCTTTAACTGTTGGGCGTCTCCTGTCCCCCTGTTCCCGCTTCTTCCTCCTTCTTGCTTCTCTGGGGGCCCCGTCGGGAAACAGACCAACTCTATCTTGTGCAACACGCTTCAGAGGAGCCACGCCAAGTCCAGATCTTCTCTTCTGTGTGAGGCTGGCAGTTGAGAGGAGGAAGAAGGTGGGGGAACGGCGTAGAAGCCGGACGTCGTGTCACAATGATTGGGGTCCCCAGGTGGAGATGGAGTGGTTGACCAGGGTAGGTAGGTTCCTAGCTTAGACTGACTTGCCCAGATGGAGGTACAAACAGGATGTGCACGTTACCATGGAGGCCACCTTAGCAACACCCAGCAACTGCGGTGGTAGAGTGGCAGCACGAGGAGGAGGATGAAGAGGAGGGCTCCCTGGATACCGAGGACGACTGGGTCTCTGGAATCAAGATTCAAAGGGGGACAAAAAGAAACGATCAGAGCGGCCACAGGGACCCAGCAACTGCACAGGCAGAAGGCAGCCACGCCGGGACGAGGGCTGCAGTGACAGTTGGTGTCTGAGCTGGACTGATAGCTGGGCCCCAGCTGAGTCACCTGACTCACGGGAGGCCCTCTCCTCCCTGGGAGACCCCAGCAGCTGGGAAACTCCAAGGCCTGTAAGTTATTTCAGACACCCAGCCTCCACGGCTCCCAAACCAAGCAACGCAAATTCCACAAGGCCACAGCTCTGTGCTCTATCTGTGGACTGGAGAGACCTGTCCCAGGAAGCTTTAGTCTGATCTTACCTGTAAATGGAGATCAGAGAAAGGAGTCCAGGCCCCAGCAGGCTGGCCAGTGGCCTGCGGCCTGCCGCCCTCCCCGACGCCCCACGTCCCTCCCCATTCCCAACGCATACATCCACACACCAGCAAGATGGCCCGAGAGATGCCTGAACCCTCCAGGGCCCCCGGGAAGCCAGCGCCAGCTGCACGGATGTTCTGCAGCCTCTTCCGGCTGCCAGCGGGGCAAGCACCGAGCTTTGGTCCCGAGGCTCTGGGGGGAAGGGCGGAGTAAAGTTCTTTAGCAGTTGGCAGCGCAGGGCGGGCCCCTCTTCTTTTAATTGGAGGGGACCGAAGGCCCTGTGAGCAGGAGAGATAGTGCATTGGAAGCCTGTGCGTGTGGACGATTCTCCGGGTGGAAGGGATAAGATGGCAACCGATTCAGATAGGGCAGAGGGGCCCCGGCACTGCCCGCGGCAGGACCAGGCAGTCTGCCTGCCTGTGAGTGAGCCCCTGAGGTCTCGGTTCAGACACCTGGGAGAGAGGCGATGGCTGGCGCCGCCTGGGCTCCCCCTCCCGCAGCAGGGTGTGGGCCGGGGCTACATGCAGGTATCGAGGGCTGAAGGGGGAGTTCTGCTCCTGAGCCCTGTTCTCAGCTTCCCAGAGGGGCCAGCGCTGTCCTGCAGGAGCCGTCGCCACACACCTGCGTTCAGATGAGGAAGGGCTCCTCCCAGAGCAGCGCCAGATTCCAGGGCCCGGCCCCCGACCCGAGTTCAGTCAGCAGGGGTGGCAAGGACCTCAGCTCGGCCGCCCTCTATTCAAGATGCCAGGCGAGCCGGGAGACACCAGGACCATCAGATAAGGACTCGAGTCCTTTATCAGCCACCAGGTGTCCAAGCCCCTGTGACTCCACTGCATGCAGTGGGATGGCGGGTGTCACAGCCCTTCCTCTCCCAGGTGTCGCCTGCCGCCTCCCCCTGCCACTGATGCTTGGCACTACTCTGGCTTACAGAAGGGAAGCAAGCAGGATTCACCTGTTTCGAAACATCACACTCTCTTTTCGCAGGCCACGGGGAGTCCTGGGGGACGAGGTCTGAAAAGGAGGCAAGGCAGAGACCTGACCCCCTGCGCGCAGGCTGGCACGGGACCAGGCAGCATGCGGTCCCCTTATTTGTGCAGTCCTAGCTATGCAGGGAAGCAGGAGTAGAGTTTAAGGTATTTTGAGAGAGAGAGGCCACAGTCATATGACTTTATTACCGCGTATCGATATAACTGTTCTTTCTTCAAATTAATAGTCACTCCTGTTAACCTCTTGCCTAATTTATAAATTAAACTTTATCATAGATCAGATGGATAGAAAAAAACAGGGCTCTGTCCTCCGTGAGCTCTCAGGCTTTCTCTCTCTGGGGGCCTCGGAACACATTCCCGTGGACAAGGGGCCACGGATGTTCTAGTCTCTCCTTCAAGCCTGTTAGGGTGTGTGCGTGGGGGCGGGGGGAGGGGAGGCTATAGCCCCAGGAAACCCCTCCCAACTCCTAAGTAGAGCTCTTTCACCTTCAGAGAGCATGCTGGGACAAAGCCGGAAGAGTCTAAAACTGGGAGGCCAAACCCTGCGCTTTCTCAGTCCCTGCCCCCTCCAACAGCTGCTCCGGGAGCCCAGGAGGTTTGACCTCTCTCGCTGGCTGCTCTGTGCCCTGTGCCTGGAGGAGAGCCTGCACACAGTGGGCCCTCATTTAAGCTTCTTTTGTTGATGGTCCAGGAGCACATCAGAGCTGGGTCCACCGCCCAAGTGAACACTCGCCTCGCTGCGGCTCAGGTCCTCCCAGCTTGAATGCAGGCGGAAGAGGAGCCCCAGCCTTCGCTGAATGAGGCTACCGACAGAAATGGGGCTGGGGACTCTCTGACGAAAGGTGCCCCAGATCCGGCTCAGGACGCTCAAGGGCGGGGACAAAGCTTGGCCTGCTCTCCAGCCGCTGTTACCTACAAGCAGAGGACGGTCCGTGCGTGTCTCAGCCGGGGCAGCTCCCACTCCCTCCCCTCCACCCCCCTCCAGGAAGGGGAAAAATCCCAAGGCAGATTCGTTCACAGTCACCACTGGGTCACTAGAGGAAAAGAACTGACAGGGTCTGGGTCCCTCTGGCCACCAGAGGGGAGAGGGTCCTCCACGCACAAAGGCTGGCGACGGGAAAGTCACGTAAGATGAGAACGCGTGGGGCTCCACACGCGGAGACACGAGGAATGTGGCAGCTCCGGGCTGATGCAGGGGCCCACACACAGTAGGTCGGCACACACAGCAGGGTCGGCGCATGGCTGGGCTGGGCGCAGGGTGGGCTCTGCAGGAGTCCCCATCACTGCCCAGGCTTCCCTGCGCTCTGAGCCCAGCTGGATGTGCATCCCCCGCCACTGCCGGCTCGCCTGGCCCCTGACCTTATTAGGCAACTGCCCAAGAGCAATCCGCAGACACTCACGGCGGCGCCGCTGCCCGAGCCAGGCCAGGCTGGATGCCGGGGAACACCAGGCCGGGTCAGTCCCTCGGCCTGGGCGTTCCGGGCGGGCGAGGTATGTGCTCACTCCCCGTTTCTAGCGTTTGCCCCCCCAGCGAGGAGAGGAGGGAGCAGCAAGCTCTCCCACTGCGTCCCCACGTGACGCTGTCTGCCCACAAGCCCATTTTAAGGTTTTCCTTCCAAAGTTGAGAGATGTCATCCCAGACGGCGTGGGAAGGCAATGCCGTGTGAATTCTAGGGAGGACTGCGGGGACCCCCACGTTACAGGGGAAAACAGCTCCACGGAGATCAAAAGTGGTCTGGTCTTGGGGGCCTGGTCTTGTTGCACAGTGGGTAAAGCCGCAGCCAGCAGCACCCGCATCCCATGCAGGCGCTGTTGAGTGCCGGTTGCTCCACTTCCAATCTCGCTCCGTGTTAATGCTTCTGGAAAAGCAGTGGAAGATGGCCCAAGCATTTGGACCCCTGCACCCGTGTGGGAGACCCGGAAGCAGCTCCCGGCTCCTGGCTTTGGCCTGGCGCAGTCCCGGCAGTTGTGGCCATCTGGGGAGTGAACCAGTGAATGGAAGACCCCTCTCTCTCTGTCACTCTTTCAAATAAACAAATATATCTTAAAAAAAAAAAAAATGGGCTGGTCTTTGGCAAGTCAGCGGCTGTGACTGCCCCACGCCGTCCATGTGCCGCTTCACTCCTCTCCTGAGTCTGGACCCCTGCGTTCTCTGACAAACACCTAAGAGGCCCTTTCTGATGCTGGCACCTCTAGGGTACGGGAGATTCCCACCCCCACTGAGAGGAGGAGCCGGCTCTTGCCCCTCCTCTTTCTCTCTCGGAATCAGCTACGCCAGTCCTGGACCCGGGAGAGCAGAACCGCCCCTGTGCCCCTTTCATCCACTCCCGAGATGCCCACGACCCAGACTCTGCCCTTCCCGACAGCCCAACCTGCAGCTGGGCTCCCTAGACTAGAGCGTCATGCCCTGTGCCAGCAAGTCATCGACTGTGTGACCCTGTCCCTGCAGTTCTGTCCAAGGAGTCCCTTGCTCATGGATGCTCCCCAGGGTGCTAAGGAGGACACTGGCCCCCAGCCGGGGAGAAGCAAAGGGCATCTCCCTGTAGCAGACGCAGGCACAGCTGACGACGGGAGCGGAGCCCACGCCACGGATCTCCCCCTCCACCGGTACCTACTGACTGTGGTGGGAGGCACAGGAGACGGCAACAGGGGGGGCCGGGCCGAGGGCTGCAGGCTGGTGCAGCGCCGCAGACAGACCTGCCTGGAATACTAAGTGGCTCCGGTCAGCCATGGCCTCCGGGCTGCAGGCGGGGGCCGCTCAGTCCCGCCCTGCCCTGTGCTCCTGGCGCTGAGGGCCTCTGCCCAGGAGCAGACTGGCAGCACTCGGAGGACACACTGGCCACCGCCGGGGAGGAGGTGAGAGTGGCAGGGAGACCTCGGGGAGGGAGACCCAGCACCCTGCAACGCGGAGCGAGGGTTGGGCCCTCGGCACACTTCTCGCCTCGTTTCTCACCCAGAGCCTCGCTCCTCTCCAGAAGTCCTACCTCTCCTTCCCTGCAGAGGGGTGGGATGTGAGGCCTGTCGTGCTGAGCACCCACTATGCACCAGGTGCCACAGTAGGCACTTGATGTAAAAACTAGAAATTGTGTGTGTGTGTGTGTTACTACCTAACATACTGGTTGGTCCAAGTGCAATACCTGCCATCATTATTGCATAGATGAGGGTATTTCAAAAGGTTCATGGCAAAATGGAAGTAAAAGCTAAGTTTATTTTAGTTAAGAATTTTGTTTTTGAAATTCACACATAGGTTTTTCATGAACTTTCTGAACACTTGTCCCGTTTCACTGAATTCTCACTAATGACCAACCCTAGAAGAACATTCTCACTTTAAAAAAAAAGTTTGGGGCCAGTGTCGTGGTGCAGTGGGGTTAAGCCGCTGCCTGTGACATCAGCACCCATGAGCGTGGATCTGAACCCCAGCTGCTCTCCTTCTGATCCAGCTCCCTGCTCATGCACCTGGGGAGGCAGTGGAGGATGGCCCAAGTGCTTGGGCCCTGCACCCGCACGGGAGACCAGCAGGAAGCACCTGGCTCCTGGCTTCGGATCGGTGCAGCACGCCAGCTGTAGTGGCCATTTGGGGGGTGAACCAACGGAAAGAAGACTTTTCTGTCTC